GCAATATACTTATAGGGAGATTGCACAGTTAAAGGTTGTTGGACATCCTTGGATAGTTGGTGGTGACTTTAATACTGTTCAGGATCCTCATGAGACGTCTAATTAGAGGTCATTTACTTCGAGCATGAAGGACTTTAATCAATGGATTGAGGAGATAGAATTGGTGGACTATAGAACGACGGGGCCTCAGTTCACATGGACTAATCGGCAAGCTCATCATCCTATTGCTAGGAAGCTTAACAGTAGTCTTGTTAATTTGGATTGGATTGAGCACTTTAAATATTGTGCTATGGAGGCTCTCCCTGCGCAGTTTTTGGACCATTGTGGGGTGCAGGTTTGTACGGTAGCCTCTGTTAAGTCTCTGCCCAAACCCTTCAAATATTTCGAGTTTTGGGCAGAGCACCCACTCTTTATGGATATAGTTGAGGAAGCTTGGAGTATTGAGGTTTCAAGGACGCCCTTGCAAATTATTCAGAGTAAATTGGGTAGGCTCAAGCAGGCTTTAAAGAAATCTAACAAGGAAGTCTATGGTAACCTTCAGGATCAAGTTAAAGAGGCTGAGGGTGAGTTGCTGAGAGTCCAAACCAAAGCATTCTCAGATCCTACTGCAGAACACTTTGAAGCTGTTACACTTGCAAAGGATCGTTATGATCATATATCTTCGGCTTATGAAAGTTTCTGTTGGCAGAAATCCAGGGTATCTTGGTTAACAGTTGGGGACCAGAGTTCAAATTTCTTTCATTAGACTGTAAAAATTCATAATTCCAAGCGAGCTATTAGGAAATTGGTCAAAGAAGCAGGAGAGGAGATCTTTCAATCTGACCATATTATTGAGGAAGTTCTTGGGTTCTATAAGAAACTGCTGGGAGAGGCTAACATGGAAATTAATCCTAGTAAGGAGGAGTGGAGCAGCTGGTTCGTCATCATATCCCTGGCCCTGAATGTGACCTTCTTATCAAAGAAGTCACAGCAGAAGAGATAAGGAGTGTGGTTTTTAGCAGGAATTCCCAGAAAGCTCCAGGGCCGGATGGTTTTTCTGTTGGATTCTACAAAAAGACATGGCCAATTATTGGGGATGATGTAATCAGAGGGATCCTATTCTTCTTTCATACAGGTAATTTTTCTAGTGGAGTAAATGCCATTGTTGCTTTGCTTCCCAAAGTTTCTAATGCTAATACTTTGAAGAATTTTCGGCCTATTTCGTGTGTGAATCTTCTCTATAAAATAGTGGCTAAGATTCTTGCTAGGCGCATTAGTAAGGTTATGCCTCTGATTATTAGTAATACTCAATCACCCTTTGTTAGAGGAAGAAGCATAATGGATAACATTTTACTGGCTCAGGAGTTGGTTAGTGGGTATAATAGAATCAATTTGTCTTCTCGTTGTGCAATAAATATAGATATCATGAAGGCATTTTATTCTGTTAGTTGGAAGTACTTGTTTCTTATGATGCATGTCATGGGATTCCCTGAGAGGTTTATGAAGTGGATTAAGGCTTGTCTACAAACTGCCCATTACAGTTTCAATATCAATGGCAGTTTATGTTGTTTCTTTAGAGCTAGGACAGTAGTCAGGCAAGGTGATCCATTATCACCGTACTTGTTTACCATTGCCATGGAAGGCCTATCGACCATGTTGATGTCTTCAAGTCAATCTGGAATGATTCCTTTCCATCCTCAGTGCCAGAGAATTTATATAAACCACATGTGCTTTGCTAATGACATACTGGTGTTTACTACTGGTTCGGCTCAAGCGATCCTTCAGGTTAAAGAAGTTCTGCACAATTTCCATCAGCTGTCTGGGCTTAAGAGCAATTCTTCAAAGTGTGAAATTTATTTTGGAGGGGAAGACATCAAATACAAAAGTAATGCTTTGTTTCTCTCTGGTCTTAAGGAAGGTGAGTTACCAGTCAGATATTTGGGGTTGCCTTTGATGTCTGGTAAACTATCTTCCACAGAGGTCGACATTCTAGTAGACAAGATTAATAAGCGGATTAAATCATGGAGAACCAAGAAATTAACCTATGCTTGAAGGCTGCAGCTAATCAACTCAGTGTTACTTGGAGTGGTCCAATACTGGATGCAGCTTTTTGCGCTCCCCAAGAAAGCATTGAAGCGGATTCAACAGGTATGCTCTCAATTTCTTTGGCATGGGAATGATGCTGGGAGAGCTAAGGTGGCGTGGGACTTTGTGGCTTTACCTAGAAAAGAGGGTGGACTTGGGGTTAAGGACATGTTGGCATAGAATCAGGCTTGTTCCATTCGCATGCTCTGGCTGTTCCTGATGAAGGCTGGAGCTCTGTGGGTTGCATGGATGTATGAGTACAAGTGTAGGCAGGGAGACCTTTGGTCGTTAAAAGTACAGTATAGTAGTTCATGGACTTGGAGAAGGCTGCTCAAATTGCGAGGCACCATTCTCCCATGGATACAACAACAAAATGGCATCTTTTACTAGGATTCACATGAGATGACGGTTTATTCAGTTTGCAGAGTGTGGGAAACATTGCGCAGGAAAGCTCCAGTTGTCTCATGACATAAACTTGTATGGAGCAGATATTGTCCCCCGAGATATAGCTTGATCTCTTGGTTGTTAATAGGAATGCCACTACCACCAGGGACAAACTTTTGCAATGGGGTAAAATCAGGATGCTTCCTGTCCTCTTTGTGATGTAGATGTTGAAAGTCGTGAGCACTTATTTCTCCGCTGCAATTATTCCCATAGACTGTCTAAGCTACTGCATTTTCCTTTTTTGAGGTTTCAGGGCTGGGACACAATGGTGCAGACGCTTACTATAGAATTACGCAGGGACTCTCATTCTGGCCAATGGCATGCTCTCAATTGGTGTCTCACAGTGTCCTTTATTTGGAAGGAAAGATGCATAGTGATTCATGGTACCCCTGCCGCGATCCTGAGTCTGTTGCTGACCTAATTAGGGCGGATCTGATGTTCATATCTTGTGGAAACAGAGGCATTCGAGATGCACTTACACACCTTTGTTACTTATAGGTTTTTGTTTGAGCTTTGTAATTAGTTTATTATATAGTGAGTGTTAGTGAGTAGTGAATGTTCGTGAGATGCTCACGTGGGATCCTTTCTTTTAGGTTTCCACTTCGTTGTATCGATTTTCTTTTCTGGCAATAAAAGCAACTGATTCAACGGAAAAAAGGATCTTTCGTCAAAAAATAAAGCTTATAGAGATATAATTATTCCTTATATTATTTAAATATCATGTATTAAATATATCTTTTGGAATGGGTAAGACACTATGTAAAACTTTTGGAGGGATAATAATTTTTATGTATCAATTAAATAAATATATACATAAATCTTTCGTTATATAAGTTTGAATTAAATTACTAGAATTTAACTAAACTATTAATCACATCATTAATTTGCATTAACCACAAATATTGGAAGGTAAGTTAATTTTACATAACAATTTAATCATAGATAATATTATTCATAACTTATGGAAGTATCTTACCCAAACTATTTTTTTATAGAATTACCCAAACTATTTTTGAAATATATGATTTCAACTAAATTATTAAATCAACTATTGTAATTTAAAATAGAATTAGTTTCTCAGCGTAGCAGGTAAAAAACAAACTAGTTATTCAGAAGTGAATAACACTTTTTTTAAATAAATGTGGATGTTATTTGAGAACAAAAATAAACTTTTCAATAATCATTTATTTTTGGGATACGAATATAGTTTTAAATCAAATAGTTTTTTTCAAACTTTTGGACAAACATTACAAAATCAATAATAACGAAATCAAACATTGTTGGTTGTCCAATCTCTACTAAATCAAAGCTATTTAATTAACATATAGTTAGGTGCTAAGTCATTCTGGGTGTGTAAACTTTTATATGTAATGACCTTTCAACGAACTTACTATAATCGACTTGGCCAGAACACAACTTACTAATGAAGTAGAACATGAAGTTCTCTCATGAGGTTGCGTGTTTTGTGACCAGGCTAATTTAGCTACCTTGGTTGTGTGTCCATTGGGGAAGGAGAATTGTCTGCGACTATGACAGACACAGATGAGTGGTTGTACTGTTGTAGGGCGGGCGTCGTTGACGAAAGATGGCTATGGTGAGGTGACGATGGCAAGGTCGAAGAGGAGGCCAAAGAGCATAGGAGAGAAGATAGGGATGGGTAGAGGGGAGAGTGGGGAGAAGAAGAGGTCGGTGCAGATCGGGAAGGAGAATCAGAAATTGGTGGGGGTCTCAAGGGGAAGGAGAAGTGTCTTTGGGAAGGACCGGAGATTCTATTTGAGGAGATGAGGTGGAAGACTAGTGTTGGTGGTGTGATGAAGTGGGTAGAAGGGCAATGGTTGGAAGAAAAAAATAGTGAGAGATTTAGAAATAGCTTAGTGGAGTCGGCTATTTCGATATCCCCCACTTGTAGGATTTGGAAATTCCTCATGGTCAAAACCTCTCATTTCCTAGCCTTCTCAAACATATGGATGTGATAAAAACGGGGAAGATTAGAGATTACGGCAAAATCTTGCACTACAATTCCCGTTATCCAAACGGCCTCTTAATGCATTATGGTTTATGGACTTTTGTACACCCATCTTTTAATTAAATAAAAAAACCAGTTAGAAGTGAAGGTGTGTTTGGAAAAAATTTATAAACGTTATAAAATAATTATTTTTTGTGACTTGTTGACTTATTTAAGTTATTTGCCAAAATGATTAGACTCTCTAGGCGGTCATATTTTCCGTGAATATCAACAATTGTAATTCTTTATAGATAGTGGACTTATCTTCGATGCGGTTTCTCGAGTCCTCAATTAATGATAACGCGCGATCTTTTTATGAATGAGTGAAATTTTATTGCAGTGACACTAAATATGTGTCAATAAAATGATAACCGTACGAGAATCGAAAGAAACTTACAGAAAACAATAGCAAGAAGCCAAGAAGCAGTCTCAATCTCAACCTTTTCTGCAGAGTATCAAGAGGGGGTGGAAAACAATAGGTGTATGTGACGATGAATTGTATTATGAACAAAATTGCAATTACAAACATCCTGAAAAATGGTTGTGATCTGCTGCAACTAAAATTCCTAAAATGTTCTAGCATTTCCTTCAACCCATGGTCACGCCTGCTGTAGAGTTAGCAATTTCTTTCATTTCGTAGCTTGCTTGGCTTAATTAATGTTTGTAATGTTACTGTCTGAATTTTGTGATTCTCTTCTCTCGACATTTCTCGGGGGAGAAACCACTGAAACCATCAATTCCCCCCTAACAAATCAGACTACAAGAATTATCTACAAAAAAAAAAAAAAATTGTCATCAATTATGTGTTGTTGACAAACTTGAACGCAGCAGAGCAGAAACAATTATCCGGGTTCCACCATTGATGAATCCCATGAGCCTTCTTGAAGCTCGCAAGATTACTCGAATTCACAGTCAAGTACGCCGACGGCACCAAATGCAGCGGCTCCGAATAGCTCCCCGACAGCAACCCGGCAACCGAATTGCTCAGCGCAATCCTCTCAATCTTCCCTGCGCCTCTCTCTTCCATCCTCCTCCGATGCTCGAAATAGCCAATGTAACCAGCACAGATGTGATCGCTCGGATTCAAGAACATGTACGGCATCCACGTGGCGAGCACGGCGAACTCGGACTCCTTCCGGGTCTTCCGGTCCTGGGTCTCGGTCGTGGCGGCGAGCCCGGCCTTGACCACCCCGCTCGTGAACCGGATCCCCTGCTTCAGGGTCTTGTTGTTGATCCGCTCGATCGGCGCCGACAGGAACGGCGGGTTGAACAGGTACGTCTCGATGAACGTCCCTCCTTTCGCCAGCTTCTTCCCCGCCAGGATCGCGATGGCGGAGCCCAGCGAGTGTCCCGCGAGCCAGAGGTTGTCGGAGCCGACGATGGCGATCAGGTCGTGGACCGCCTGGACGGCGACGCGGAACCGGGAGCTCTTGTGGAGCTTGTGGCGGATGCAGAGGAGGTCGAGCTCGATGTCGCGGGAGATGGAGTCGCGCTTGTTTAGTGTCCCGCGGAAGGCGATGGTGTAGATCGGGGCGTGCTGGTGGAAGCCTGGAGGGACTAGAGCGCCGGAGATTTGACGATTCTTGTTACCGCCGTCTGGAGGAGGATCGGGGATGGTTGTAGCAGGGTTTGTTGTGGATTTTTTGTATTCAAAAATGGCGCCGAAGATGGACTTGTCGTTGTCGTCGAGGAGGAGGTTGACGAGCTGGAAGTCGAAGAATGTCCACCATGGTGTGGCTTGTGCTTCGGGGCCGTACCTCTTCTGCTGGCGGTCTCTTTCCAGGACGCACACTCCCTGGACAAGCGACGCGGCCACCGATCTTCGGTGGTCGAGATTGGTCCTGCAAACTCCGGGACATGGCAGACGTTCAAGATTATTCCTGTGATGTTGAAGATTATGGTAGGGATTCAGGGAGGGGAAATTAATCGTAAGGGTTTTTGTTACCAGTCGATTTGGGTGAGATGCAGGGGTCCGGAGATGTCGAAAACCTCTCTTTTTGATAGGACGGATGATGGTTCCTCTTTGTTCCCTTCCTCTTTCCCTCCCATGTTAGCTCTCTGCAAAGGGAATCTGATGAACACCAATGAAAGTGAATGTGTGATGATAAATTCCAGCAATTGCAGAGGGTTTCTGATGAAATCTGGAAAATGCAATATCCAGGAACAGGGGGGTTTTTTTTTTTTGAATTCCAGGCTGATAACCAGAACCCAGAGGAGGAATTTCATAATCCTTCTGCCGATTGAACAAAGAAATGAAATTGTTCATGCAATTTCCTGATAATGGCAGAACAAAAGGTTGCAAATGAAACAGAGGATAGATAACATTGAGGATGAAGAAAAAAAGCTTTTTCCTACCTGTCACCTGATACGAAGAAATTCTGTTCTTGAAATCCAAACCCAGAGGCCGACGATTGTCTGCAAATTACCTGAAGCCATCGACCATGTTTCGATTTGTCTTTCCTGCCTTAGGAGAGTGCTTTCGTTTCCTGCCCCGGTGCAATGGAAAATTCCTTCACAGCTTCAATGGATTCCGGGGGTTTATTCGTTAAGAATTGTTTGATTCAAAAAGGTTATGATAATGTCGGATCTTCTTTGATTATTTCCACGGATTTAGATGATAACGAAAATTTGTGAGAAAACCCCAATGGAATAATTCGGAGCCAGAGCCGAAACAAAGAGGATCAGGTTACAGGCTGAGGCAGGGCAAATTGTAAACACCGAAAGGAGGTTACAAAAACAAGGCAAATCGAAAGCGGAGAAATCGATCGGTCCGAATTCTAATGGAGGTGGGAGAGAATGGAGAATTCCTCTATATATATATATGGCTGGGGCGGAGAATTGGTAAATAAAGGTCCACACGGCCGGACGATGACTGACAGGAGTTAATTACTGAAAACAGGGGAATGGAAATGGCGGCGGTGACCGCAGCAAACGGGAAAAGCAACGGCGGAGCGAAATCAGCAGACTTCACGGCGGTGGAAATTGGGGAGGCGTTGAGCCCAACTGCCAGCTTGTTCCACTCCCCCAAGCTCAACTGCTGCATAATTGCAGTGTTGGGCAGCAAGACCGCCATCGATCCCGCCGTCGTCAAGTCCGGTCTCGAACGCACTTTGATCAGACACCCTCGTTTCTCCAGCAGATTGGTAGTCGACGATCATGGATGCAGAGGAAGGAAACTGAGATGGGAGAAGACCATGGTGGAACTCGACGATCACATCATAATCCCGAATTTAGACGACGACGATGGCGACGGCGAGATCTTCACAACCTCCCCTGACTCCGCCGTCGAAGACTACATTTCCCGCCTCTCCACGTTCCCGATGGACGTCACCAAGCCGCTCTGGGAGCTCCACATCCTCAACGTGAAGACGCGCGACGCGGAGTCGCTGTTCGTCTTCAAGATCCACCACTCCATCGGCGATGGCGCCTCGTTGATCTCTCTGCTCCTCGCCTGTGCGAGGAAATCCTCTGACCCTAATGCTCTGCCTTCAGTTCCGGTGAAGAACCGGCGGGCGAGGAGGCAGGGCGTGGTGTCGGCTAGTGGTTTCTGTTGGTCTCTGGTTTGATTGATTTGGGCGGTAGTTCGATTGGTTTGGAATACTCTGGTGGATGTGTTGCTGGTGAATGCGACAGTGTTGTTCTTGAGAGATACGAGGACTCCGATCAAAGGTCCGGCGACAGGGGAGGGGCGGAATGGGAAGCGGTTTGTGCATCGGACGGTTAGTTTGGGTGATATTAAGATGGTCAAGAATGCTATGAATATGGTAAGTTAAAACTTAATCCCTTGTTTAATCCTTTGTCAATTGAAGGGTTGGAGTCGTCGGATCAAGCGCGCACCCCACATCCACGGCCTATCTAATGAGCGTGGGGCTTTTAGCGTTTGATCTGACGACTCTGAACCTTGTAAGCACGTTCTCACAAAACGACTATCAACAATTCAACATCATAGGTAGATTATTCCCACATTGCCTTTGTTTACATGTCCACATTACATTTCTTAATTTCGAATACATGTCATCTGTCAGTATCTCACAACAGTTTGTTAATTTCAAAAGTATAAATTACACATTTCAAACTAACCAACATTGTCAGTTCTTGTATGCACTTATAGTTTAGTGTATGTGTCGTGTCGTAAATGCAACTCATGCATCTTAGTCCTTGTATTCTTGCTATCTACTAAATAATCTTTGCTTATTGTTTGTCCCAAATTAATCATTGTTATTTTTCCAATTTGGTCGTTGAGAACTTAGTAGACCATCAACGATGTCTTACTTGGAGTGACAGAAGCCGGTATCTCTCGATATCTCAACCGAAAATACGGCAAGTTTCCTTTCCTAGTCCTTTATTTTTCTTTTTAGATAATTGTTAGCTTCAATCCTCGAACTTAGAACATGGTACATTGTAACCTCTCACATTATCACTAATCCAACCCCTTGCGCTATCCTTAATCATTTGTCCCTTACAACGATCAGATCTATCGTGCACACAATGACGATTACCTGATCATGAGTTGTCGTAAATCTTATAGGTGAGAACCAAAAGAATGAAGAGAAACAGAGTAATCAGATTCAAAAGAGCTATCTCCCAAGCACAATCCGACTTAGGGCATGCATTATGGTCAACATGAGACCAACGACAGGAATCCAGGATATGGCAAAGTTGATGGCCAAAGGACCAAAGGCGAAATGGGGATGGGGGAATTGGATTGGTAACATGATGATTCCTCTCACCATTGCTCTGCGAGACGATCCATTGGACTACCTTTGGAGTGCCAAGGCCACAATGGATCGAAAGAAGCACTCCTTGGAGCCAATTTTAGAGTTCATAGGAGCTAGAATCCTTCCCATGGTATTTGGAGTCAAGGTAAAATTAAAAGATTTTATTGATATTTGGAATCAATTATCAATATGTGTCGCTCTTGATGGAGAACGACTGACATTTCTCTATAAGTATGTGTAAAATACAGGCAACTGTTGGAATCTTCCACAAGATATTGTCCAACACCACATTGGCCTTCTCTAATGTGGTGGGTCCAGTAGAGGAAATCAGTCTTTACGGGCATCCGATAGCTTACATTGCTCCGAGCGTTTATGGACACCCTCATGTAAGTGCTCCACTAAATACGATGAAATCTACCTACCAAACTTGATGATAGATATACTAGATTTAATAGTTATTTTGTGTCCTTTGTATTTCGTCCTTTTAACGATCATTTTTGTACTTAATGTAACCTCAATTTGTAATTTCGCATAAATCCGTTAAAATGGGTCTTGCTCATTTGTGTCAACAAAACTTTTAATAGAGATTTTCCATACTACCCTTGTCCTATGCATCCACCCATGTGCCACTATGACAAAAGAATGGGATTGATGTGATCTCTCAAGATCCATGATGCAATTGGTTTTTCATTTGAGCAGGCATTGACGATTCACTTCCAGAGCTACTGCAACATGATGACCATTTCAGTTGCAGTTGATCCAGAAGTGATTCCTGATCCGCATGTGCTCTTCGATGAGCTTGAACAATCCCTCATAATCATGAAGGGAGATGTTACACTGAAATTCCCAAAGAAAGGACCAAATGTAGGTTGGAAGGAGATTCTATGAGATAAAGAAAAAATGCCTCTTGAGAGGTTGTTGAATTTTGTATTGTGATTTGCGATTTTGAAGATATTTTTATTACTTGAGATGCTATATTGAACAATCGAATATCGAAATTTAAAATTATTTAATCAAAAGCACAGAAAATCCTAGTTAGAGTATGGAACAAAAAGAGGTTTGACCCAACTGAGCATATTGTTGAAAGGAAGGTTATTTATCTCATTCTTTACCAATGAAGAAAAGCGACAGGTGAATTTGATATAAAATGGTGGTAGTGTGAGATTTTGTACCTATAAAAGCCAAACAAATTGGTCTTCTATAATGAAAGTTTGTTGACCAATTTTGCTTATTTTTGACCGAATTAAAGCCGATTTTGCTAGATTTTAATCGGGTTGAACCAGTTTTACGAATTCTAATGAAGTCCAAACCAAATGAATAACACCCATTTTTTCCACCGATGGACAACCTGGGTCCCTTGCTATCTGAAATCTTATTTAACGCCCTAATTTTTAAAAATTTAACGCCCTAACCTTATCAAAGAGACGATACTACCCCGAATCACTAAAACTGCATCAGCTGCCCCCAATCCCTAATTTCCCTCTGCTACGCTCCTCGCCCTAGCCCTTCTCTGCCGTCGCACGGTCGCCGCCGCAAACTCGTGGGGGAAGAAGGGATTCGACGCCGGGCTCCTCCTCTGTCGTCGCACAGCCGCCGGCACGAACCCTAGTAGGCAGAAGGGATTCGACGCTGCCCACCTCCTTTGCCGCCGCCCACCTCTTCGTCTCCCTCCATCTTCAATCCAACGGCGGACACCACAATCGACCAGCGTTGTACGAATGACCGACGAGAAGACCCAATCCTCTAATCCGCTCTACAGAGGCAATCCTCCCATGGGTGAACGCACAAGAACTCGCGAGCACAGCTTCCATTCCGCTAACCCTTGCTCTGCTCCGCCCGTCGACGACACGGGGGATTTTTCTCCTGTTGGGTTCTTCTCGGTCGAGGAAGGAGCCGGAAGGTCGTCGCCGGCAACTCCCAGGGGGAACAACGACGACTCCCAGGGCGAACGACAGTGACGGAAAAAATCCTAGGGCGAAATTTGATCAGAGTTGGGAATATTTTGAAGGCAAAAATGTCAAATATCTAAGTTAAGGCGACAATTTAAAAAAGTTAGGGCGTAAATTAGTTACTCCCAGCTATTTGTATCCAAGGGCGCAAGCACATACGGAAGCATTTTGTGTACCAATTAACATATAGGCGGTAGATCCCAATTGGACACCATCCGGCTTTGGCCCAATAAGCCAACAATTTGGCAGCAAAGCAGACTGACGAAAAGATTACAAAAGCATTAAGGAAACGACTTCATTGATAATTCAATCCATTCATCCGGTCAACAACAACTAAACAATTCGAAGAGGTAGAAATTAGTCGCGGTTGGTTGCTGGCTTTTGGTTGGAGAAAACAGAAAGAAAATCAAATCCAATATGCCATCCCCTGTTTCAATTTTTCAAAAGGCAACACAAAAAAGCTAAACGTGGGTAAGATACATAATAGCAGAACCCCTGAACCTCCACTAACCATTCCTCTCTCCCGCCAGGCGCCAGTTCCCAAAACCTAGTGAGTAGAGAAGACGGAAGAGCATGGCGGGCGAAATTAGAACAGCAGAAGTGGTGGTGGCGGCAGATATTAAAGCCATCGACAAGGAGAAATCATCATTCACGGGCTACGCGTTGAGCCCAGCAGCCCGTTTGTTCCACTCGCCCAAGTTCAACTGTTACATCGTCGCCATCATGGGCTGCAAGACCAAGATCAACCCCGCCGTCGTCAAGCTCGGACTGGAGCGCACGTTGATCAAACACCCTCGTTTCTCCAGCAAACCGGTGAGAGCCCCCGCTCCCAATTCCCACCAATCCTTCCTCTTTCGTTTTTCCTTTCGATTTTCTTAGATTGACCTTTAATTTGAGTACCCTTTTCTGTGCGGCACTTGAGCTAAGCCTGATTGATCGTACCCTGATGGTGGGTACCTTTCAGCGTGTTTTGAGCAAATATCTTGATTCCTTCTTTGGATTTTCATTAAAGACCGAAAAGGGATGGTTTTTGTCCTCTCATCTATCCAACTTTGGAGAAACTTCCAATCATTGTTTGGGGGGCCATTTTTGTCATTTGACCCTGTTCCCTCTGGTGAAGGACTGAAGGTGATTGAGCTGGTGGTTTTCTTGTCTAGGGTAAGATTACCTCACAAGTTAACCATCAAAACGTTCGTGTCAAACGTTAATGATTCTTGTCCCCCCCACCTCTTCGTATCTTTGAAATAGAAAAGAGGAAATTTTAGTACTCCATTCATTCCATCTTTAAATTGGGTTATCAATCATTAGTGGGTAGTTCAAATTGTTCAACTATTAGCCAAACTGGGTGGTGGGTTCCTTAAAGAATGACTTCCTAACTCTTGCCATGATCATTGAGCTACTGTAATGTCCGGAATCATAATGAATTGGTCTGAAAGGTTGAAACTTTAAGCTTTTATCTGGTGAAGAAAAGGCCGCACCAACTGGGTATTGATATGGCTAGTGGCTTTGAGCAAATGGATTCTATCTCTTGATATACTTGTCTTTGTTTCTTTCCCTGGCTATATTATCATCTGGCTGGCCCTAGAATGGTTTGTTTTTATGCGGTCTAAAGAATTTCCCCAACTATGGAGTTTGGCATCTACACTATGGTTTAGGTAGCTGATCTGTTGTACTTGTGTTCATGTTGTGTGTTAAATCAATCACAGGTGGTTGATGGGTGCAAAGGCAGGAAAATGAAATGGGAGCAGACTGAAGTCAATCTAGATGATCACATTATCATTCCAAATCTGGATGATGGCGATGTGGTGGAGTCACCGGATAAATTTGTTGAAGACTATGTTTCTCATCTCACCACATTGCCATTAGACTTAAACAAGCCATTATGGGAGCTACACCTGTTGAACGTGAAAACTTCTGATGCAGAAGCTGTTGGGGTGTTCAAGATCCATCATTCCATAGGTGATGGTGCCTCATTGGTGTCTCTTCTTCTAGCTTGTACCCGAAAATCCTCCGACACTGAAGAATTGCCTACTGTTCCCATGAACAACAAGCCTTCTCCTGGTGCTGCTGCTCTCTCTGGTGGGGTGTTTTTGTTGATTTGGACGCTGCTGAAGCTGATTTGGAACACTTTGGTGGATTTGTTTCTGTTTGCTGCTACAATGTTGTTTCTGAAAGATACAAAGACTCCGATCAAAGCTCTAACAGTGGAAGGACAGCAGCTCAGGAGGTTTGTGCACCGTACTGTTAGCTTGGATGACATTAAGCTGGTGAAGAATGCATTGAATATGGTACAGTCTGACTTGTTCTGCCAGTAGTTCAAGTTGTGAAACATTTCTATGTAGCTGTTTCATGACCATTTTTAAAGAGTTGTAGGATTGCTGTCGAAAGTAGCAATCTTTTTATTATAACTCAATGGTAGCACGGATGAGTTAGTTTCTACAGAAAGCACTGCATCTTGTCTGTTTGGCTGAACGTACTGCTTATATGATGGCAGATTATGTTTCCTTCTTCATGCTGACTTTTTAGTTTCTTGATCCGGACTTTAGTAGACGATCAATGATGTCGTAGTCGGAGTAACACAAGCAGGTCTCTCGAAATATCTATACCGCAGATATGGTGAGCTTTGTCCTATTGATAAAGTTTCTGTTTTTCTTCCTATGATCGCAGAAGCTAATAGATTTCCCTGATTTAACAGGTGAAGATCAGCAACATAGGGGAACAGAAAGTCAGAAACTCGATATTCCGAGGAACATAAGGCTTAGAGCATCAGTTCTAGTTAACTTAAGGCCAACCACCGGGATCCAGGTACCAAAACTATCCAGCTCCTGCTGAAAAGGTCTGTCTAAACCAATACTTTTGTGTGAATTCAACATTGTGTTTGAAAGGGCCGCCTGTTGATGTGCCTTTAAATATGCTCTCATGCTCAGGATTTGGCTGATTTGATGGCCAAGGGACCGAAGGAGAAATGGGGATGGGGGAACTGGATAGGGTACCTAATGCTTCCTCTCACCATTTCCTCACAAGATGATCCTCTAGAACATGTTCGAAGGGGGAAGTCCATAATTGATCGAAAGAAGCTCTCTTTAGAACCTGTTTTTACATGTCTAGGCGCCAGGGTAGTCATCCAGACATTGGGAGTCAAGGTAAAGAAACATTTAGCAGAAAACAAGGTTTTTGAGTTGGTGTTGTTCTGGGTTAATGATTTACTCACCTTGACATTGGAAACAGGTGGCTTCTTGGATTGCTAACAGAGTCCTTTTTAACACTACATTAGCCTTCTCAAACATGGCCGGTCCTGTAGAAGAAATCAGCTTTTATGGTCACCCACTCTCGTACCTTGCTCCAACCGTCTATGGCCATCCCCATGTAAGTAGACCCTCTCTGAACCCTGAACTTTCAAAACATGGAACTCTCCTGAGACTGTCAAGCCCTCCTGGGATTTATCACATGTCCAAGAACCATTAGATTTTTTTCTTCTTATCTTATCTTGTGGCTTACAGGCGCTGACGATTCATTTCCAGAGTTATTGCAACACGATAACCATATCTCTGGCCGTTGATCCGGGATTGATTCCTGATCCTCATGTGCTCTGTGATGACCTTGAAGATTCTCTTAAAGCCATCAAGGAAGCTGTTGTGCAGAAATTTGTACAGAAAGATCCCGGTATTGTGTAGAGAAAGAACAAGTAATGGCAGAAAACAGTCTTAGCTTTCACCAAGAGATAGATAGGTACAGAGAACGCTCTGAATATAGAGATGTTAAGGAAATGGCCAGAGCCCAGAGGACGATACTATGCAGAAATACATGTAAAGCACAGACTACACAGAATCACAGATAGATGTTAAAACATCTTTTGGTTTGTAAGGTACATATTCACATTGTTTTGATTTAGGATTGCTAGATCGAGTGAGTATAAAAGATCCATTCTTGTTGCTGGTTGTGTTTTGCTGGTCTGTCAAATGAATAAGAGATCGCGTTGTGAACGCTTTCAACGCGAAAGCGTTGCCTTTCAATATCCTCGAAACAGCATAAATCTCACAAAAATTTACTTGCATTCCAAATAGTACTAGGGAAAGAGAAGAAAATGGCTAAAACTAAAACTGAGCTTGCTCCAACTCACTACTTCCTACACCTCCATGAAGAGACAGAGTAAAGCGGCCTATCTTGCCAACAAATCACAGCACAGCCATTCTCTTCCTTCATCCTATACCCATCACATCCATAGCTCTCCAGCAAACCCTTACCCTGCAACATCCCATAATAGCTCAAACCAAGATTAACAAAACCAGCCATCTCAATCCTATGAATCCACTTCTCGAGCTTCTCGTGCCTTTCCTTCCTCTCCCCTCCTTCACATGCCACAATGTTCTTGATCTCCTCGCCAAACATCATCTTCTCCACCTTCAGCCTCTCGATCGAGCTCCTTGGCACCGTTGATTCCAAGCAATCAAACAAAGCTGCATAAGAATACAGTGCCTCGAGAAGCCTCTCCATGAGCGTGGCTCCGTTATGGTTCGAGTCTTGCTCTGTCACCACCATAACCTTAGGCGATAAACCCCACAGCACGTTCAGAAACCAATCCATCTTCCCTTGCGAAGAAGAAGGAGAACCAATTGGTGGTGATGATGACGACGAGGCTGAATCAAAGCTATTGTCTTTCTGATCAAGCAACAGCTCCCCCAACGTGCCTTGCCTCTGAAGCAACCTCGAATTCGGGTTCTTGTGGGAGGCAAGGAAAGGATGCAGCTGGAGAACAGAGCTTATCGCCAGAGCCTCCCCTGTTTTCACACGAAGCTTCTCCGGATCGAGATTCTCCAACCCGCCACTAACAACAATGGGGTTGAACTGGAATGGAATGTCCAATCTCTCTGCTTCCTCAACCAGCTTGTGACTCATTCGATCCAGTACCTCTCTCTGCTGATGAATCCCTGTAATCCTCAAATGCGGAGGACCTTCAGCCCGCCCACTCAAAGCTTGAAGGAGCGCAATCCACTGCGAAGGCTCGGACGCATTGAGATCGATGACATGCACCATTTTCTCACCTTCCATAGCCTCCAGAATTGCCTGGTTAGTAACCACGAACGCGACCTTCAAGAACGGGAACATCTCGTAGAAGAGACTCCTGACCATCGTTTCCTCTGAAGGGATTTTGATTTTGGTAGCATTGAGTGCCCTGTGAACTCCAGGCCAAGCTTTGATGATCCTCTCGGCGAGAGCTTCGGTGAAGTAAGCTGCAATGCGCTGCATGGTGTCGCCGTCCGGTGCCGATAATTGAGAGATCTGGCCGAGTGCTACCTCGGCGCTCTCCAGGCTGCCTGTTGCTACGTGATTTGCACAAGTGAGCAGCAAATGGATCAAGTATAAACCCCTCTCTTCGGATTTCAGCTCTCTGAGGTATGGATAAGGCGAGCCGAGATTGGAAGGATTTGGCGAGAGTTGCGCCATGGAAAAGAATTGGAGTGGCGATGATGTGGCAGAGGATGATCCATCATCTTGATACATTTTTCAGCAATTGAAAACAAGAACTTTCGAGAGCTCAAGCAAAATGAAACAACTGGATAACGAAACCTAAGCGGAAACTGAATCAAATCAGTTAGAGGAAAGAAAGGTGGAAACTTTGAACTGAAGCTCGCAAAGAAACAGAGACCCAGAAGAGGAAAGACGAAGATCCTTACTGGGTTTTACGATTCGTGGAAAACCCAGGAAGAAAATGGATGAAGATTCGAAGAATTTCCCAGCAATCAGTATCGTACCCACCCAAATCCTTAAAACCCTGGAAATGTTTCCCTTTTTTTTTTTTTCTTCGCAGAGTCCTTTGCCCTCGTCTTGTTTTGTAACTACGGTTTGCTCTCTGATTCGATTTCAGCTGGCTGTGGCTCGAATTAAAAGCTCCTTTCTTTGCACTCTGTACCGCACCAAGAAAGCAGAGAGAGAGAGAGAGGAGCAGAGGTTTGGTTTGGCACGACTTGTTGTTGTTCGTTCATGGTTACCGGTTGTCGCTTTGTCTACAACGTGTAAGGGGCTGCTTTCTTGTCGCTTAGCGACTTGGCTTGTCGTTCTCGTCTCAGCGGGAATGTGGAATTTATGAGAAAGGCGAGCCCTTTTTGGCTTTTTCTTCGTTTCCCTCTCCTCCACCACCAGCTTTCCATACTTTCTCTCTCTAACGCACCGACGACGACGACGACATTTCCTTTTCCCACCATCCTCGCCATTTTTTGTCTCTTTCCCGTTCTTTCTCTCTCTAGATTCTTGTCCTGACACCGAGCGGATGGAATCATGCTGGCCTAGTGAATGCGAATTAATAAACAAACAAAAGAAGAGAGAGAGAGAGAGAGGTTGGGCTATTGTTATGAATTCTTTGCCGGTGAAAATGAGATTTGTCCGGAAATGTTGTTATTCCTAAAGGCAAAGAAAAGTCCAAACATGCCATAACAAGGACAAAGTAGCCATTACTACCCGCCAAATTTTGTTTCCTAGTGGGGTTAAGTTTTGGGGTATTGCTTAGGTGGGAAAGAAAAGAAAAGAAAGCCAAGTGGGAAGCCCTCCCCAATAAATGAAACTTTTAGTCTAGAAACCAAAATTTCTAACTATTGATGTTCTAGTGTGTTGATAAATATTGTACACAACTAGTCATGTTGATGGATAGGTCTTAATGTGAGCTCATATCGTTGAGCCTGCACGTTCCACGATTTCGGTCCGTCTGATCGATTGAAACACAGGCGTTATTTAGAAACCTGCATCCATTAGTTGAGATCACGAGACGATACAACCCAATTCCATTAAAGGTCATCCCCACGCATGGTAGCAAAATCAGCTTTAAACTGAAAGGTTGAAAGCATAAAAACACAGAGATCTGGATTACCAACAAACCCCCGACTTTGAATTTTACGGTCAACATTCATATAAAAAAATATATATGAATCGTCGATTTCGAAATGGATAAACTAAACATGGTTAGGACGATCATTTGTCTTGAAATGTTACAAATTGATTTTCATTTCAGATGTATGAATAGATAAATAAAAAAATATCGAAATCATGTATCATGATTTAATAATTATAGATATCCTTCTAGTGTAATTGTATGACCATCAACTTGATCATAGAGTTTAGAGTTTGAAACCTTGGAAAATGAGATCAAATTGTTGGAAGTTTGACCAAACATTAGGGACAAATGAGGAAGTACAAGTTAATTACACTACTATTTCTGGGGTGACCCTTAGGATAGGATGACTCACGTATACATCTCCCCCACATTCGGACAAGGAGACAAAGAAGTCGAACAAAACTCCAAACTCGAATTTGTACAGTTTAACGATCTCTCTAGTTGTGGGGAGTCGTATAAAGTTGGCGCCTTGTTTTGAACAAAAGCCAACGAAGTCATGTCAACAGTTCATTCTGAGCTAACCCACTACTATCTTGTAATAGGTGGCAAAAAAATGGACGTGTACTCGTGTCTCTCTTGCTTCATCCTGAAAAAACCAGGTTAGTTTTGTCTTTCCATCTGTTAGCCTGATCCACGGTTTGAATTCTTCATTGCTGACATCCAGGTTCTAAGAGTGTCATTCAAGATGAGGATTTTACTGTTTAGAATTCATATTTTGTTAGAAATCGAACAGGAAAAATTAGGGTTACCGATCTGGCTGAGTCGCGGGCTAGGTCGCTCTCTTTAAGACGTTCGCGGCACTGCCTTCGTTGCGCACGGCAGACTATCAGCCGGTCGCCTCCAGGATAAAACAGCCACTCTAAATTTGTTGCTGTTCGGTTTTGTGCGAAAACCGGAGCTCTATGAACTCACTCTCAATCTTGTGTTTCTGCTATCTGAGGTGTGTTTAGAGGGTCTGGGGCGTCTCCTATTTATAGGAGCAGAAAACCCAGAATATTCCCTCTTTCTTTGGGAATAAGTCATATTTTAATTAGGGAGATAATTACTCCCATAATTAAAATATAATCTATTAAGATAATTATTCCTAATTATCTCCATAATATTCCTTTTATTAATTATCCATCTTAATTTCGTATTATGGAAAAATAATGGATAATTAATTAGAAATTTCATTATAGCTTTCAAAGCTATTCATCCCAACAATCCCCCACTTGAATAGTTTGAAACTATCTCTGAGCATCAACAGTTCCATAAGATCGGGCCTAAACTAAGGTATCGCGAAGATTTGAACCTTAGCGTAGTGGTTACACTTCCGATTTCATAAGGGTGACTCGTAGTCTTGAACCCTATCTCAGACAATGTAGCACACCGGATCTTTTCATTGAGTGATATTCTCTCATAGGCCGTGCGTTTATGGCCATGCACGTTATCCCGGTTTAGTGAACGCTCTAGCAACTTTGTGCCTCCAAAGTTCCATAGGGAGTGGCCCCACTCCCACATTCACATAGGTGAGTCTATCAGAAGTACCCCCAAAGTAAAGTACTCCACCCCACATAGGGTATAGATCTCATTAAGAGTTGTTAACTCAACCTCCATTGCTTTGGGATTCATGCTTCACTATGCATGAACTTTTCGCATACTACTCATGACTTGTTATTACCCATTGAACCCATTTCTTGGGATCTCCAGTCTATTGGGTCGGGTTACCATCACTTGTAGTCCGTGGTTCGGTAGGCATAAGTCTCATACCCTAGGCGGTATTTTGGACTTTCTCTCTAGATAATCCTTTCGTCAAAGGATCAACTAGATTCTGTTAGGACCTTACATGATCCACCCTCATAGCTCCTATCGTTAGGAGTTCTCTTACAGTACTGTGCTTACGACGAATTTGTCGTCTCTTTTCGTTCTAGAACCGGTTCCCTTCTTTAGTAATAGCTGCGGTGCTATCACAATGAATCAACTACCGGAGGGATCGGTCTTTCCCATAAGGGAATCTCTAGTAGTGACCCTCTCAATCAACTTTCCTCTTTACTAGGCATTTCTAGCTCTATCATTTCTGATTTCTTAGTTGATTGAGCCAGGATCGTGTACTTCTTAGACTTCCAAGACATAGCTTCTCTATCGATGTTTAAAACACATCCTTTTGTTGTCTTGGAGTCCTCTATAGGGTATTCTAATCCGCATCACTATACCCTACCAATACAGCAAAAAATCGTTGATAACTTATATCAAGGTCTACTGTTCTTAAGGTGTCTCATGACCCCTTTCAATAGCATTTGTTTCATTCAGATCCTTCACATTCAAAATTCTCAACCATCATGGTTTTTCAACATTGACATCACGAGTCTTTGTACCAAAGATCGACGTGTCATTCATAATGCAAGTGTCATTCTCAAATTTGTACTAAATGCACTTGTCACTTTCACTTTTAAAACCATGAGAGAGAACCAGTTTATTCATGCCATCGTCTTAGAGTCTATTTCAAACCTTACAATGATTTGTCTAACTATAGACTCCCTAAGCATGTTCAAGAATAACAACCCTATAGGTTGTCCCATGTAGATTTTCCTATCTAAATCACCATTCACAGAAACATGTTTAACAATCCATCTGACGCACAACACTAGCAATCAGAACATTCATGGACATTATTCTACATATGGTGAATAGATAACAAGGAAATTTACAATTTTTTCTTTTCGCTTAATGCCTTAACTATTAGGCGATCCTTATACTCAAAAACTAAACCAATAGGTTTCCCTTTTCTTTTAAGAATCCATTTATTACCCATGACTTCATTGCCAAGAGGTAATTCTCAAAGATGCCAAATCTTGTTCGATTCTATCGATATATTACCCAAGGCTTTTCAACCAAGAGGTAATTCTACAAGATTTTAAGTCTTATTAGGCTCCAATAATTCCATTTCGTTAATAATGGATTCTCCCACAATTCTGCATCTTTATGGAAGTTCGAACTTCTAGCAGACTTGTAGGATCTTTCTTTCTTAGGGTGTAAATAACAAATTCATAACCAAAATCCTTTCGTGATTTGTGGTTCATTTGTTTCTTCTGAGTTTAAACTCAGATTTATTACCCCCACTAGTTCCATTATTTCTAATAGTAGGCAGGACACTACCCCCACTATTTCTTGATTTAAAATGGAAGTTTCTTGGCATTAATGGATTTCACAACAACATGAGTATTTCGTTTCATAGGAACTATGTGTTTTTATTGTTAACAACATAAAACACACTCATATGCTCTTCTAGTTATCATGCTACGTACACTGATTTTCTAACGCTACCACATGCATGCCACATATCGAATAATCAGTGCAATCATAACGCAACTAGGCATTTCAAACTATTTCTAATAACTAGTTAGACAACCAGAGCACTCTAAAGAGCAATAAATCATTTATTGTCTTTTCCATCAAGTTTACCCATATCAACATAAATCAGATCTATTGATTCTGATTCTCTAACCACATATTTTATGGGTCATTTGGCTTGGATACAAAAATTTTATTTATCTCAAGCGTTCGAGAATAATATGGGAATGTGACTTTAGATATTCTAATTCTTTACAAGGACACACACGTCCCAAAAAAGAATCCATCTTAGATCGTCTATCACAGACGTGCCTTGGGGCGCTAGTATCCAACAACCATTCTCCAGAGTTACCTGTTGGGGGTATTACCCAGCGAGTTAGGGGACAAAGCCCAAAAGAGTAAAGTACCAAGGGCCAGGTGGCGGCCAACCGGCTGGTGGACCACGGCCTGGGGCGCCTGTCAGGTGTCAGGAGTCTGACAGGGCGGTTAGCTGTCACATGGAGCATCAAAAGCCAGGTGGCGATCAACTGGACGGTGGACCACGGCCTGCGGGCGCCTGTCGTGTGTCAGGAGCCTGGCAGGACTGTGGAATGCCAGTCAGGTGTCAGGAGTCTGACAGGGCGGTTA